TCTTTCCCTCAGGCACATGTCTTAAAACTGCCCCTTTTTTCCTGATGAACTTAATGCTATGTGTTTCTTGGCACACCTAAAGTTTTCAGAAGTGGTCTTGGCTGTATATCTCAATTGAGTTATTTGTGAAAGCACCACTGGTCACTGAAAATGCCTGATACCTTTCCCAAACTTTTGTTCAGTCTATTATTGATGCTGACATATCACCTCAAACTAAGCACACGGCAAATAGGTTATTGCTTGTTAACCAGAATCAACCTCCAAAATACTGATTAGTTTTTAATCATGAATATGACTGCAACAAGTTGACCGTTTAACCATCAACCTACTTCTTTGGCACTGATACATTAAAAATACAGAAAAATGGTCAAGTAATTATCTGTAACCAAGTAACCCTCAAATAAAACCGGATGTTAAGATTGATGAGTTTTGGGCCTCCCTGGTGGCGCAGTGGTTGAGAGTCCGCCTGCCGATGCAGGGGATACGGGTTCGTGCCCCGGTCTGGGAGGATCCCACATGCCGCGTAGCGGCTGGGCCCGTGAGCCGCGTAGCGGCTGGGCCTGTGAGCCGTGGCCGCTGAGCTTGCGCGTCCGGCAACGGGAAAGGCCACGACAGTGAGAGGCCCACATATCGCAAAAAAAAAAAAAAAAAAAAAAAAAAAAAGATTGATGAGTTTTATGCAACGTAAATGCAATGTTAATATTTTACTTTGATCTATATTTTAGCAGAAGTCAGTATATATATATATATAGTCTCACTATAGAAATACACTGGCAAATATACAGTTATGTATTCTCTTTAAGCAAATCTTTTTTCTTTTTTTCAGTCTTTGAAATAGACCAGTTTTACAGATGGATGTATTATAAATAGCCAGATAAATAATTTTTCTAAAATAAATTTTAAATAAATTAATTTTGAATAAATGAATGTTCTGCCCTTGATTCTTAGTAAAATATATTGATGAATATTAAACTGTGAAAAGCAAATTATCTTCACAGGTATATTATATAATATAAACATTTAATTAATTTCTTCCAATAGATTACTAGATTGAAATAATTTTTGATATAAGAAATTGTGCCTTTTCTTTCTTGCGACCAAATTTGCAAGCAATAGCAATTTATTCTAATCCTTGAAAGTACACCCAAGAACTTTATGACCCCTTGAAGAGAAAATTAGATCCTATCAGAGATCCTGGCTTAATCATAATTAAGTCCGCAGAATGTTGGGAACATCAAGGAAACCAAAGAGCCATGCCTAAGAGAAAATGTGCCAAAGTGTAATATTTAAGACAAAGTAATTAGAAAGATATAATAGAGATGTATGTAAGTTCATGACTTACCTGTTTATGATTTCAGAAGACTTTATTGATACTCATTATCCTAGTACTGTTAAATAGTTTTTCATTCAGATTTTAATTTTAGTCTAAATTTCTCCTCATTAAAATATCATAAACAAACAAACAAACAAATTCTTTAACAGTTTTTCCTCTAACTGCTCTAGATCATTGGTGGCCTTTGGTTATAACTATTAATAGTTCACATTTGTTTTGTTCATTTTTTTTTTGTGACCAAACCAAACCTTAAAAATAATTTAAAGTTGTAGCCAAATTTTAAATTTTCTGGCTTGTTTTTAACTGTCAGACCTGGCTCCCCTGCCTTTATAACCGTGCACTGAAACAGTGCCTGTCTTCTTCAGACTGTTGGTTAAAATTCCTCCTTCACTTGTGCAGGCTAAGAGTTTTCAACTTTTCAGGGTTTGTGAAAACTGTCTATATTATAAAATCATTAATATCCAGATTCAAATAGATATTTCTGCTTAAAGTTTTAACTTATATTGGTAAACTTAAACTTTTTTCTGATTTTTCTTTCATTAAATTCTCTGTATCATACAAACACATAATGTTTATACAATTAATAACATGGGCAAAACAATGCCTGTTTTCAGTGTACTCTGAAATGTTAAAATTGAATAAATTTGCACACATGAAAGAGATAATCTTTAAAATGGCTTATGACTGTATTAATGTTTCAGCATTGTGTAGTTTATATTTAGAGGTCTCTCATATTTGTTCAGTATGATTCCTTTTTGTTTGTTGGTTTATCTACACTACTAAAAACACATCTATAGTCACGATGTATGCTAGAACTGGCCTCTACATGATATAGTAATTACCCTATGTGGACATTCCCAAAACATAAAATAAAAGTTGTATGATGCTTTTGGATGCTTTCTATTTCAGTGCTAAATAATGGAGTACACATAGACGAAAACATTTTAGCTTTGAGTTTGAGTGATTAAATTTCAAGTCAATGTGTTTGCATTCATGTTGTATCATCCCCATTATGCATATCATGTGTATTTAATTTTGATCACTTGAGGTTCTAATGGAAGAGATATATCATTCTGCAAATTCAAATTAATTTTATTATTTGCTTAGCCACATCAAAGATTATAACAGAAATTCCTAGACTTATCCCACCTAGTTGTTGACACCCTCTTCCTTTGTTTTTAGGAAGGCCACTTCTCATTTTCTCCAGACACATTCTTTCTTCCCCTTCTAAGACCAAATGGGAATTTTTAAAAATGGAAATTGAAAACTTATAGCCTTTTAAACATCTAATTTATAATTTCTAAAATGTGGCGTCATTTAATTTCCTTAAAATATTTAAATGATGCCAGAAACATTACATTTCAAGCAGATATTATGTATTATTTTTCCTCTCTTATGTGTAAGTGGGATTACATCTGCCTTTATTTTTATTAAAGATCGTTTGAATACAAAAAATAAGTATTAAAAGGTGTTTTATATCTTCTCTGTCCATTGGAAGTTGTCACTTTAACTTAGGCAGAGAAGATCTTTCTTATTTCCTCCTCTATGATTCTCCTGCATGTGAAATCATAGCAGAAGTCTAGTTATTTGCATGGGGAAGGAAAAACTACCACAGGACTAGGTAAATAGAATCTAGAGGAGAATTATGTTAACATATAATCTATCTTCTCGTAGTCCTGTCACTAAATTATCATCGAAGGTGTCACAACAATGGACATCTGGTCTCCTTTGGTTGACCTTTTCCAATGAGTTAAGCATTAAATATGTGTTACAAAAAGAATTATTTTGTGTAATTCAAACAGAACCATTTATGTTGGATGTGTAATTTCGAAGTTTTGTTTACATTATGTCCTTAGGGGTTTTCTTTGTTTTAACAGCATGCAGCTTGACAGAAATACACTACCCAAAAAGGGACTAAGGTATATATTTCTCTCAGCACAATTGCTGCCTTTCTCTGTTGTTACGTAAACTTTTTGTGCTGTCTCTTTACCTCTTTCCTTTTTTGTTCGCAAAGAAGCACCTGACATTGAGGATGAAATCACTTTTAATCCCGATGTTTTCTCTGGCCTGAGGAGTTGGTGAGATGGCCCTCAGGTAGAGATTTTGTTAGAGGCCAAAACTCAGTAAATTAAATCTAATGTAAAAGCCATTATTTGGGGGGCAGCCACTTTTAGTTGAATTCAGAACTCACTTCTGAAAATTAAAACAAAATTTTAATTTTCCTAACATTTGCGTCTTGGAGGCATATGCTTGCAAAACCTCACCCCATATAGTCTACAGATGTGGCCAGTGAATGTTGAAAAGTTGAAGGATGCTCTAATTTGAATCAAAGAAAACATATTTTCATCGTCAGATGACAAATACTGTAATTAAGGTATAATTTGTAAAGAATCTTTTTGGTAAAAACTCAGAAGAGCTTTATTTTCTATTTTTCAGGAGTGCTGGTATCTATCAGATCAATATAGACATGAATTAGTCTAGTATTACATCATAATATCAAAATAATTATTCAGTTCCTCATAAAAAATAGAATGAAAATTTAACGCATGGCCATCCTTTACTGTACACTTTTATCTGATGAGAAGATATGGAAGGAACTATGAATAGAGATATAACACTCTATGAACATAAGTCAACTGCTCTTTGGTACTAAGAAGTGACTTACTCTGGTAAAAGTGAATTCTGGCCAAATAGGTCTTTCTCTGTTATCCTCCTCCTCTCCACTTTCTTAGCAAGAGCAAACAGCTTGCAATTATTCCATTCTAAGATTTCATTCCAGAAATTTATTTTCCAATAAAGGATGCCCATTTCTCTCTCCATTTTTTAAAAAAAGATCCAGACATGGTGTCAAGTGGCATTTTAACCAAAAAAGTGTTTTTGCTTTTTTTTTAAAAAATGATCTGTCAATTTGTGTTCTATTTCCTATGTCTTCCTGAGAGCATCACTGCAATTCCCTTGGCTTCTGGCCTACTACTGTCCACCATATTTAGTCTGTTTTTCACCCTCTTCATATCCTTCTAAACACTGTGCTTTTGAGCCCTTCTCAATTAACCTGGCTGTCTGCTCACTGCTTATGATTTTCAACTACATATCTCACAGAAGCATAATTTTCTTTTCAAAATCCTTTATTTTTTTTCCTGTGAGATTCAAACAGATGGTGTCAAATCATCTGGAAGAACTAAGCAATTATAATTAGATTCAATCTGTTTGAGAATGTTGCTCAGTCTGACTAGTAAGCTCCTCTCAATTGTTTTCTCGTCTCAATATTGCCTTGCCCTTGCAGATGTGCTGAAGTGTCTTAGCTGTGCTGTTTTGCAGATATACCCCGTCATCTCGGCAGGCCAACCAAGAAGAGGGCAAAGAGTGGTTACGCTCCCATTCTACTGGAGGGCTGCAGGACACTGGCAATCAGTCGCCCCTGGTCTCCCCTTCTGCCATGTCATCTTCTGCAACGGGAAAATACCACTTTTCCAACTTGGGTAAAATATTCTAAAACGTCAGTTTCATCTTGTTCCTTTCACCACCTACTCTCCCAGGAGCCCTGGCATCTCTCCATAGAATGGTTCATTTAAAGAGGAGTTAAAGACACCTTAACAGTACCCTTTATTTGTATGCTTACTGTCCACAAAATAATTTCCAAACAGTTTATTGCTCATGACAACAAGTTGACATAGGTAATACTGTTGTTATTTTATAGTCTAAGATCCAGAGGCAAAAAGAGACTATTTGACTTAAAAAAAAAAAAGAAAGGCTCACCCCTTGTAAGAGGCAGAGGCAGTAATTGATGCCAGAACACCTGACTTTAAGTCTAGGGGTTTTCTCAGAGTCCTCTTAAAAACCAGTAAAACACCTCCTTATTTTCTGTTTAATTTTTTTTAATCCTTATGAGAAAATGAATTATCTTTTTGTAGAAAATAGAAATAATTAGGAAGAAGAAAAATATGTGATTCCATGACTCCATGATCACTTCTTTGATCATTTTAAAGTTAAAACTCTCCTTAAAATGCATATGAGAATTCCTATTAAGATAATACCCTGTGAACATTTTTGGATAAATGCACTGAAAAGAAATGACTATTTGAGCCATTGGATTACTTTGTGTTTAGCATAATTTGTATGAAATATAAAATCATTTGTGTAAATGTCATAGAAAACACAGGGAAAGTGATGAAATAAAGTCTAAACATGACAGTTATCATTTAATAGATCCAATGCTTTTAAAAACAGATTGCTTTTCTATAAAGTCACATATAAAATAGTATCATTTTTTTTCTCTTTTCACTTGAGAAGTTTTTTTTTAATGATAGACCAACAGATTGTCCAAATTCTTGGATAATTTGGGCTTTTCAACTTTCCGCCCTGTAGGGATAGTCAAAGCTATTTCTCTTCTATTGTAACTATTCCTGCTATACAGAATAGAGCTTTTGGCAATGAAAAACACAAATTATTTTGGTCATGGCTCCACATGCACTAATGAATATCTATCAAACACCAAGTTTTTCTTGCTAAACCTGCACAATGATGAGACTTCTTTGCCTCATAATGGCAAAGAATGGTATAACTTTTACTTTGAGTTGTAGTTATAAAACACAGCAGGAAGCTTAAAACTCTGACTTCAAAAAATGAAATAAAAATGTTTTTATAGAGTCATAGGCATATGAAACAAAAGCTAATTTTATGCAACATTGGAATCAAACCCATGTCACCTAGTTTGCTAAGTTTGCTGGGTATCTCATGGCTCCTGTCAGTCTTTTCATTACTTGACATTAATTTGAGTATTTGAATCCCCACTCCATTATTTTCCCATTGTTGTTATTCTGACTCTATCTAGTCCATCTTTCTTTGAGAAGAAAAAAAACTCACTACTTACTATGTCTGATCTTAGCAAGTCATTTAACCTCAACTTTCTCATCTGTTGAATGGGTTCATAATACCTAGGTTATATTGTGAGGCATGACTAATGTGTGCAAAGACACAGGAGATTATCAGACTTGGGGGACTCTGCTACATCATCATTTTTATTGGAAAGCGATGTCTTACACACTGTCAGAGACAATTGCAGTAGATTTCAAATTGATCTTATTGCCTCTACTCAAATCTCTCAACATTTTCTCCCAGTGGGACTTATGAAGAAACGTCTTCCCATACATGTCAACACACTCTCATGTGCCTAGCCATATTTTATAAGCATATGTGGATTCAAATCAGGTGTTCTGAGATCTCTATGTTGTGTCATTTTACAAGAGAAAACGATGCCTAATTTTAAAATCATGAAAATTACTTTTAGAGAATTTGGGTTGTATTTCCAGATCACTGGAACTTATAATTATTAGGCAAGAAAGTAGATACTATTAAAATGCAGTCATAAATAAGAGTTACTTTATTATTAAATTTAAAAATTATATCAAATATAGCTCTTTAATTTGAATATGGATAGCATTGTCCTACATTTTACTTTGGTCATCACTTGTTTTCAATTTGATCATTATTTTTTCTGAATGATCAGTAAGATAAGTGATTATTACTAACATTCAAGAGTTGCAGTATCCATGTTTTTTATCCTTACCCATTAAAATATGTTGACATAAAATTTTTAGAAATATTACTGTAAAAATCACATATATATAACAAACATTTAAAATTTAAGATCACTACTATTATGTCATTATTAGTAGACTACTGTGAGCTACTGCCAAAGTAAACTCTGGTTTCTATATAGTTTCTGGCATGATAGCTATGTTAGAAACCATTCCTACCCAAGAAAGCATAACAGAATTTATTTATATAAAAAAATAATAAATTATTGGATGCAGTTTCATTTACTATTGGTCACAGCCCTTGTGAGGCATCCCATAACCTAGTGAGACTCATTGTCATAGTCCCACAAGTGATGATAATTGCTCAGATTCATTTTTCACCTTGCCTCAAGAGTCACCATGTAGAAGCATTATTATAAACCTGTCACTTTCAAATTCTGTATATTTGATGAACCCTTTTTCCTACAGAGTGATGTTTAAACACCTTTGTATAGGAAGTTTCTTTGCTTTACTCCCAAAGGTCCCTCTACCTCGAATGTCCTTCTACTCCCCTCTCCATATTCACCCTTCAAGCCATTCAGAATTAAGCCCTTTCTTCCATACTTATGGAAGAATAGAATCTCAGAGTTGGAAGAGACCTACATCTGGTTCAATCGTGCACCTATTATGTAAATTCTAATGACAGCTCTAGCTTCTCCTCTAAACCCACCAATGACAGAAACTACCTAAATCTAGATATATCACACTTTTGAAGTTCTTTAAATGATCAAATAAACATTTCTTGAATCTCCACCTAGTTCCCAGTTATATTCCCAAATTCCACAAAATAAATTAAAATTAGGTTACATATGACAACTCTTATTAAAACAACATCATAAACTCACTCACTGATGTGTCTAGATGTGGCAGCAAAGTCGAGGGGCAACTTGGAGGTATTTAAAAACCCACTCCATATTTCTGTCAGTTCCTATTCTCCTCAAATCATTACAAATAAACATATAATTTAATAAAAACAGTGCCTTTGGTATGATATATAGCTTAAGACAAAGTCAGTCGTCCTCTTTTCCCTAATACATAGTCACACCTATATCTGTCCTATTAGAAATGTTTACATGTCTTCTCCTGGCTTTGAATGGGTCTTAGAGGCCATTTATTCTGCCATTTTTATTTTTTAATTCATGAAGAAACTGAAGGGTAGAAATGGAGGTATTTGCCTAAAGCAAATGGAAAGCAAAGCCACCACTAGAAGCCCTGTACTAATTTGTGTCCCATTACAAAAATTCTGTCTGTCATACTTTTGTCTTCTATTGCATAACTTTTCTCAGTCTATTCTATGTTATTAATTTCTCTACCTTTCAGTCACCTCCCCTAGAGGTCACTCTTGAAGCCAGGGATCTTGCCATATTTATCTTTCTATTTAACCACAATAACAAAAAAGCAAACCCGTCATAGATTTTAACTTAATTGAACATCCTTAAATAAAATGAATATATTTCCAATGGAGAAGCTATCAGAAGTGCTTATAAATACAAACTATTCCTTTTAAAATCTACCCTAATCCTCATTACTATTTCACTTTGAATGAGCTGAGTGTTATGTTTTAAAATTATAGAAGGATACTTACTTGGATATCTCTGCAACCATTCTGTAAGAATTATGCGAAGCCAAACAATGAATGAAATGTCTTTCTAACCTCTATATACATATATTAAAATGATGCACTTCATTGCGTTGAATACTTCATTTATTTAGCAAAAAGTCAATTCATACTGTGGACCTAGAAGAGTCTGATTTACCCCAATCCAGATACCTTAAACATAAACATTCAAGTCTAGAATGTCCTTTGGAGTATCTTTTGGCTGTCCTCAGGCAATCAGATGGATTGTCACTGCTGACTGAAGGAATGTGCCTGAAAGATCTCTCTTACTCTCTCGCTCTCTCTTCTTTTCTTCTTTCTTTCCTTCTTTCCATCCTTTCTTCCCTCCTTCCAATGGATTGGGGACTTTGCAAATCCCCAGTTTCTTTCTTTCTTTATTATGTGTCACATATGCACACATAGATACAGTTCTTAGGTTTTTTATTTCTTTTCTGGGTCTTTTTTTACTGTAATTCATAGCTAGCTGTATCAGAGTTGTTCTGTGTATTGATTCATTAATACCTGTAAAATATCCAGCATAGTGCCTGGAAAATAGGAGATAATCTCCTTAAGTTATCTCATGGTATGTACTCCTCCTATTTTAGTTTGTTCTGAGATCCAGTAATTACATTAAGAAATGTAGTCTCTGTGTCACAGAAAAAAATAGCATATTCAGTCAACCACATCTTTCTTTAAATTGATGATTATCAGTTGGCCTAAAAAGTTGAGTGTCATTAGAACTATTTGGCAATAAGCACTAGGTAAATAAATTCATATTCCAAATTACAGACTTAGGTACTGCTTTGGAAAAACAAGTTTATGACTTTTGACAGTGTCACCGTGACATTCTCATCTTAGACACAGTAGAAAGTAGTTTTATGTGATTAACCTCACGATGAGCTATGGATACCACATACATTAGATTATATTTCATTTTTATTTGCCTGTATTATAACCTAACTTTGATAATAATGATGGTACTGATTATGAACTGACAAAAATTTAGAACTCAAAATGACTGAAAGTCTTTGGTTGGAAGCTTCAAACGTTTCTTCCTGGGAAATTTAAATTTCTTGTATTTTATATTCCTTTCTATTTTTGCTTTCCCCATTAAAGTGATCTATTTTTCTCTAAAAAGAAATGTGCAGCTTCTAGGAACACAATCTTTTCTTCATAATGGGCAGCAGGAAATACCATGTTATTTCTAGCAAAAAACAGTAGAGGTGACTCGATGGTTTTGTTTAATACTGCTTTAAAAATTGACATACTGCTTGCCATGAAAGTGCTAGAAAAAAAGAGGACTCCACTGTAACTGCTATTGAAAATTTCAGAGGCAGACATCCCAGAATAATAGGCTGTGTGTGCTTTGTTTTTCAGTGAGCCCGACAAATCTGTCTCAATTTAACCTTCCTGGGCCCAGCATGATGCGCTCAAACAGCATCCCAGCCCAAGACTCATCCTTTGATCTCTACGACGACTCCCAGCTTTGTGGGAGTGCCACATCTCTGGAGGAGAGGCCACGGGCCATCAGCCATTCAGGCTCATTCAGGGACAGCATGGAAGAAGGTAGGCATCGAGGGAAATAAAGATGAAGTTACTTTAGTTAACTCAGACATGAAAACTATCACATCACTCACATCACAAGGATTCCCTCAACAAAGTAAATAAGTATAACTCTCACTTGGGAGCCCTGAAGCTTGAAGAAATTTTAGTCTGCATTAGCTTCTGTTTCTTTCTGTATTTGGAAATATGCCAGAAATTGTTTCATTTAATACTTGGCTACAGAGCAGTTCAGAGTAAGTCTGGTGTTCTCATACAGAAATCTGTGTAATTTTAGAGACTATTTACCCTGGTGTGCCAAATATCCAAGTGACTGTTTTGTTTGACACCTCAGTTTAAAAACCATAAAAGATACATAAACCAGAAAAAATTCTCTTATGAAACAACCACATGCTGCCGACTTTTATTCTCAGAAACTCCCTCTGGTGTTAGTTTTTATTATGATATTATTTTAGAATTCGTATTGTGCCTGCTTTTTGCTTTGTAAGTTACATTTCCTTATCCATTACATTAAGATTCTCACCTGACCTAATAAATGTCTTTGTAGTTGTAAAGTTCTACATGAATACTTTATAACAAAAACTCTTTGAAAAACTCAGGAGGCTTAATTGATTTTCAAATGTATGTAATTTTCTAAACTGTATAACCTCAAATGTCAAACTTGATGATAACATTTGAGAGATTTTCTTCTTTGATTTAATGAATGATTTTTAAGTACCCACACAGGAAAATTGTGGCACACATATTATAAAGCATATCAGCTAAGGATAAAATAAAGGTAAACACAGAAGTTCAAATAGATTAGAATAAAATCAGACGTGTAATCAGCCCTACTATCCTAGTCCTTAGTAAGTCTGTATAAAAAAGGGGACTCTAGATCTTGAAGCATACCAAGGGTTTAAACCTCTGGTCATCCATTTATCTGTGGTATGAACATGAGCTAGTTTTGTAACTTTATTAGTCCTGATTTCTGTATGTGTAATTTCCAAGGATGAAAACAGAGTCAAGAATAGTTCTGCTCCCTTCTCTTTCCCCTTCCTACCTTCCTATTTAAAGTATCTTCTGACTGTAATTGAGGTAGCTGTAAAAGTTGGCTCCCGGTCTTCAGGTCACCGCTGTACATTTATTTAACACGCTGGTACTAAATCAGTTGACCGTAGTTGCCACTGCCTTTTGGGATATTAACCAAACCACTGAATTCACCATGACAGGTAGTGAATTCTACCCTGAGGGTCTGCTGATTGCTTCAAGTGTAGACAAAATGTAATTAATCTGAAATGTAAAGTCATCACCTTTCTGAAATGGTTCCATCACTCTCTTCACAGACAGGCCTCTTATAATACTGGAAAAATGATTTGCTAAGCATACTGATGGCTTCCTAGGGTGCCTCATTGACAGAGCAAATGCTCTTTATATGCTGGGAAATTCTGGCCTTCCGTGTATGAGAATGAAATAATCTGAACTGTTGAAAGCCAGCCCCAGTGGGCAAGATGGCTTTTTGATGTCTGTACATTGAATACTGAATTATTATAATTCTTAAATTATGCTCTAAAATTAAGGAATTGTTGGACAGGAAATGTAAGGGACTTTATTGATTCCCTGCCCAGTGCTCACGGTGAAAGATGAGGAAACTGAGCCACAAACTTTAAGGTTATAGACCTAAGCAGCAGAAAAAGGCTAAAAATGGGATCTCCTGATTCATCGTCCACCTTCCTACTGGTGCACCATATGCTAACAGTCTAAGTTCACACCAGTGTTATTAAAAGTTGAAAGAATGTGCTTTTGTTTAAAAATGACTAGCATTTTTCACACCTCACAGAGTGATTTGCTCAAGCTAGGACTCTGGGAGTCGTCCTTTATTCCGCTCTTGACCCACATCAGTTTTAAAGAGGTTCTTCCTGGTGTCTCTCAAATTCATCCCTTTATTTTCATCCCAACTGCCTCTATCCTACACAGTTTTCCCGGTCCTCTCCAGACCAGGTCGTGAGCACCCCCAGGTGCTTTTGTAGTACCCAGAACATTGCTCTTAATAGTATTTATATGACCCTGTTGTGATTATCTTTTTAGTTACATATCTTTCTACTTCTTTTTGGGCTCCTAGGATTGTGGCATTCAATTTTACAGTCCCAGCATCTAGCAAGGGCCTGTCACATTGTGTGCATTTGACTAATGTTTATTTAATGGATGAGTAAGCAGAAATAACCTTATATTATCCCACAATGAAAAGAGGAAGAACTTTTCTACAAGTATAATTAAGCACAATTTTGTCCACCTTTTGGGCTTAATATTGTACATTGGACTTGCAGAAATATAAATCATTCTGTTAATTGTTTAAGATTGGTATTTTGATGCCCCTACCTAAAAGACAGTATGCAATTTCCATCCTTAATTTCAATGAGGCACCACCTTGAAATAAGAAATACTTTCTGTTACTAAAATTATGAAGGAAACCATACTTCTCCATTAGAATGGGTATAATCAGCTCATCACAGATAACGTTGGAAGAGCTTATTTCCCTGAAAGTTTACGGAGAAAAAAATTGAAAATGGATCTTTGTTGTATAAAAATGAAATTAAATATAAAATACATAAAGTTTTTTTAAAGTTTAAACTTTCGTGGCAACTTTAGGTGTCCATGATTTTCTGATTATTTATTATGTGGCAGTTTACTCTAGTTTTCAATACGTGCAAAGCATGCTAGAAGGGCTTGCACTTGTCAGTTCTTCTCTGTAACGTGGTGGAGGAGGCACTTCAGGGACCTTTCCGTGGCTCAACATTTCGATCTCTAAAAAATGATAGCAGACTTGTTCTCAGATTCTTATGTTATTTTTATTTCCTTAACCACGTATTCTTCACTTTTCAGTAAAGGTCTGGTGGTTCTGAGCAGACTTCATTACTTCACCTCTTGTTCTTTTTTGCTTTCTTCAGTTCATGGCTCTTCATTATCACTGGTCTCCAGCACTTCTTCTCTTTACTCTACGGTAAGTGTTGACTGTTAAGAAAACGCTTTTGCCTTTGCCAAGCACACAAATGGTTAAATAGGTTGGCATTTACACAGAAGCCTCGCAATTAAATAAGGGTGTACTCTAAGCTCCTGCATACTGATAAAGTGGTGGGTGCTCTCCCAGCCCTTCTATGGCTCATTTGTATGTGCCTCCACTTGACTTTTATGTACTCATTGTAATCAGTGAGCGGATAGAAAACTGAATCTCATAAAACCGGATGGGCTATGACTCGGAATCCCTGAAACCATGTATGATGATCCACCATAATCTTATAATACTGACCACTTTTCCTTGTTCGGTTCCCTGAGCCATGACTGGTAATTGTTCTATGGTATCTTCTCCATTTTCTTTTATAAGTTCATTTTTTGAGAAGATCACACCAAAGGGTAAAAGCCTAAAAGGCTTGGTGACTTTTTAAACTGTATCTTCTGAAAGAGTGTGATTTTAAAAACTTCATTTCTTAAGAGAGAAATGCCAGTGTATCAACGTATTTTCCCAATGTGTGAAATTATATTTTGTTTTTGCCAAGATGAGTTTTCTGTCCACTTATTAAAATTTCATCATTTTCAAAAAGTCTACAGGCAGTTACGTTTTACGAAAAGTTTCCTTCATCCTAGGTTAGAGCGGGGTATATTTTAGTTTATGAATCTCACTGAGTCTTGAGCACTATGAATAATCCCTAATCCTATCGAAAGGTTCATGAAAAGTTCAAAGCCTCAGCTGTCACTGAATAATTAAGCATTAAGGGCAATACTAATTTTTTCATTCGTTTTCATTAAGTTCAAATGTTATGGCCCTCTTTTTATATTTATTGCTTTAAAGTGTTACTCAAGATCAGACTATCATTGGCAGAGGCAATATTTTTCTTATCATTTCTCCTTTTAATGATTAACATTGCCAATCGATTCTATGAATAATGAAATCTCTGTTAGCGTTTAGATAAATCTGCTGTTTTAGGCAAATGGATAAAGAAGTGAGAAATGTAAAAATGTATCGGAAAAAACACAAAGAAATACGTCGTGTTCCTCCCATTGGGCCAATGCCACTGCTTGACGGGAGATATAGTCTGACTTAAACCCTTGCAATTGAAGTCTCTATATAACATTAAAAGATGCAGCATCATTATAGTCATATTTTAAATATATAAAAAACAATATTTGGATAAGAAACTACCTTCATGAAGCCTGAGAAAAACTCAAGAAGAAAAAGAGCATGGGTTGAGGAAAAACAGATGGCTAATTAGTATACAAGAGTCTAATAGACCTTTCTGTGATAATAAAATTATTCTATACCTGTACTAGATTATACAGTAACCACTAGTCACATGTGGCTATTGAGTGTTTGAATTGTGTGTGGTATGACAAAGGAAGTGCATCTTTTATTTTAAGTAATTTGAATTTATATAAACACGTGCCTTGTGGCTGCTATACTAGATATTACAGGTTTGCAGGGAACAAAGGAGGTACATTTAAAAAATTATAGATTTATAGGAGCAGATGTCAAAATAATAAGGATAAATTAGAAAGTATAAATGAGAAGTATTAAGAGTACAATATGAAATAGGCACAGAGATGAAAATAAAGAAACTATACACACATATTTATGTGATGAAATAGACCCTCATGTTAAGTGTGAAAAGAATGGATTAGGTGATCAAATCACATGAGAAGGTGATATTATTAGGAAATTAAGAAATTTAAATAGTTCTATTGGAAATGATGGAAATTATATAATTGAACTGACAGCCTGTAGTTAGACAATTAAAATAAATGCATATGTGGAGGAGTAATAAAGAGAAAAATCGCAGGTGATAGAGGAGTCATTTCTGTCTCCAGTCCCCCATTATCATGCACTGATAGTTAATTGGCAATGAAAAGATATCTGTGAAAGTGCTTTTCAAACTATGAAGTGAAAATTCAATTTATCATTTTTCTTCATGCCTCCTTAAGGACTCAGGATAAACCATCAGTTGATTTACATTTTTGCCTGACTCTATCAGGAATTATTGTGTGACATCAGGCAAGTTGCTAAATTTCTTTGGACTGTACCTGCAACATAAAGTTGGCAAACAGCAGCCAGATCTAGTCCATCTGTCCCAAGGGATTTCTGCAATAGTTAGAGAAGATAAGGTTCATTATATACCATAAATTACAAAAAATTATAAACTGCATGGGAGCACCATTTATATCATAGTCTTTGTGATTTGCACCTTTTGAAGTTATGCCATGTGCAAGTAACACAGTTGTGCATGATATCCCTTCATAAAATAATTAGGGAATTTGCCGGCGGTCCAGTGGTTAGGACTCCGCACTTCCACCGCCAGAGGCCTGGGTTCAATCCCTGGTTGGGGAACTAAAATCCCGCAAGCCACGCGGTGTGGAAAAAAAAAAAAAATTAAAGTGTTTAGGGGAAAAAGATTATTATTTTTTTAAAGGACTATTAGACACTATTTGCCATTATGAGGCAATATACTGCTCTTCCTAACAATGAATATAAACAGTCTTTAACACCATCATTTATGCAACTTATAGAATTATATGTTTTGATTTAAAATATTAAACTAGGGCTTCCCTGGTGGCGCAGTGGTTGGGAGTCCGCCTGCCGATGCAGGGGACACGGGTTCATGCCCCGGTCTGGGAAGATCCCACATGCCGCGGAGCAGCTGGGCCTGTGAGCCACGGCCGCTGAGCCTGCGCGTCCGGAGCCTGTGCTCCACAATGGGAGAGGCCACAACAGTGAGAGGCCTGTGTACTGCAAAAAAAAAAAAAAAAAAAAAATTAAACTAACAAAGATGACTTGTTGTAAAGAACATTTACCTGTCAAATTACAATATAATAAATCCAATTGAAAGGATTGTTTCTTCACATATAACTCTTGAAGTCTCTACCAATTATAATTTGGTAAAATTTTCCAAAGTACCTTGTTATAAAGCTGAGTAAATCATCTTACAGAATTTTTGAGCAGAAAGATCCGGGGAGATTACACACTGGTTGGAAATCACAGACCCAATCTGACCTGCCAAGCTGTTACCTTTGGCAAACTTTGAGTTTGTGTGTTTGTTTTCAAATCTAAGCCAACACTGAAAAAATATGGAGTTTTACCTAAAAATTCAAATTTCTCAATTCCTTTTAAAGTAATCGGAATATCTAGCAACACGGAAATGAAATTCCTCCAGGTTTACAGCATCACCCCTTTTAGATGTTGGCATGTGAATTCAGGCAAGACCCAGCCTCCAATTCTCTTCCTGACACTGAAGCTGAGTTTGCACTGTTAGTTATTATTGTGCTGTTGTGTTTATTGCAGGAAAGAGATACTCCTCAGTATCCATATCTTTATGAAAAGTGGGGAAAACAGATAACCTAGGAAGGCTATGTGATTTTTTTTTAATACCCAGGGCTCTTTTTATTCTTTGTATGTCTAGTCCTGTTAAACATTTAAAAATTTGATCCTTGCAATAGATGTTTTCTGAGAGGCTATATATTAAAAATTGTATTGAACCCGTTTTGTACTTGGAATCTAATTTGTATTGATTTAATAAGAGTGAGCGAGGGCTATGTTAGTTCACTGTGGAGCCCTTCAGCATATTTCCTAACACATAGCTAATACTAAAGTAAACATTTTTTGATTAGTAAATTTGAAAGGATGAATGAATGGCCAAGTAATGGCTTACAGAATAAAGAATCATCTAATAGATTTTTATTTAGGCAAGGTGTTTTATATTGTTTACCACCCTTGAGGACATTGGGCCAGCTTCAAAACCATCATTTAAAAATGGCAAGTAATCATATTCCATCATAATGTCATCAATCCATGCCTAACCCACTGAAGGAAATATTAATATTCTGGCTCATTGCTTCAACTTTATGGTAACACCTACCCAGTATTGCTAACCACAGGATATAAAAGAAGGCAAAGATTAAAGAAAAAGTTAGTTCTGAAAAGTCAGCAAAGAGAAAGTCATTCTGTACAGTATATATAAAATTAATATGTGATGGTTATGCATGTAACTAGTGTAACTTATTCAGGGCTTTTTTAATGAAAAAATGTGATGACTGTCTTTCTTGACTATTTTTTTTAAATAGCATACAGTGCTCTTTTCAATATGCAAGTTACTTATTGAGTATCAGTTCTGTATAATCCTAGCAAGCCTAGAAGCAGGATTTGGACAGAATAAACTGGCAGTAAATATGCAAAATACCAGGGAAACCAAATAGTCAAAGTTGATCATGCCATATGTCTCAAGGCAAACAACCTCCAGCTTTTGATCCATGAAATTTTTATCTTAAAATTCCTTCATTCTGTCTGATTCAAAAATCAAACTTTATATGAAACATTGAAATTATTATAACTTAAAAATATTGAATCTTCACTTTAAAAAGTTGAGATATAAAACATTAAAGCTTTATGTCAGAATTTGTTTTTAAAACAGTTTTCTTGTAAAGGCTATTAGGATTCTACTAGTTAACCACTCTTCATTTAACTACTATATTAATAACTATACATATTTTTTAAGAATAAAGAAAATATAGGATAGAAAAAAATCCAGTTTAAAAGAGATGCTTATGCATAAAAAATATCCTGAGGGTTATTTTACTTTGTTTTAGTTTATGTTTTCTGGAGGAAAAGAAGAGATAAAAAATGGTTTAGGTACTTCTGTGTCAATTAATCAGGAAATGTCTCAAAAGGAGAGAAAGGAGACAGGAGATTGTTTTTCAGCTTTGGATCTGCTCAAGGCAATGAACAGACTTGTAATGTTCAGCAATATTATGCATTCTCCAGCTTTTTCCAGAATGAGGGAGCTTCCCAAATACAATGGCGCACATAATTCATTTTCTGGCATTTTGCAGCCTAACGTGAAGAAGAAAAACAGAGCTAGGAGTTTTCTACAGCTGAGGCCAAAACACCCCTCAAGGTCCTACAGCAGTGCTCATTTCCATTATCTGTGGAGCCGATGTTTGTCAGCCACTTTTTTTTTTTTTTTTTTGCGGTACATGGGCCGCTCACTGTTGTGGCCTCTCCCGTTGCGGAGCACAGGCTCCGGACGCGCAGGCTCAGCGGCCATGGCTCATGGGCCCAGCCGCTCCGCGGCATGTGGGATCTTCCCGGACCGGGGCACGAACTCGTGTCCCCTGCATCGGCAGGCGGACTCTCAACCACTGCGCCACCAGGGAAGCCCTGTCAGCCACTTCTATCACCGCCTTACCACTGGGGGTTTTAATGTTTTGCTGACTTGGAGCCCAATAAACTTATTTAATGATCACTAAGAAAAGCAAATAAAATAGAAACTAATCAGCAGATTTTCTGTGGTTGTCAGTACAGGTCAATGTTTTTCCTCTAGTCTTATTTGGCATTCTTTATGATCTATATATCACAGAATCAAATTCCAACTCCTAGGTCCTGGCTAAAAATCTCTGTAATTTCATAGAGTATAAATTTCCTAAAATCTGTATGAAAAAAAGATCTACTCTATTATTTTTTTCTGCACTCATATTTTTTAAAGTATAATTTTATACCTTTTTGTTGTTTATGGTCTGGGTCTTAGGGTAACACCATTTTTTAATTCTATCCTTTGCTTTCAAGACATACTACATATCCATAAATCAAATAACTGATATTTTTAAAAAACCATTAGGTTTATATATAACGAAATATTCATTTGCAGTCCTACAGGTTCCTGTTTTTACTGTTTTAATTTAATAATATCATATATTTTACCATGTTCTTATGTTAGACCAAAATAACATTTTAAATACACAGTATAATTATTTTATTCTTTTATATTTGTAGAATGAATTGACACTAATTATTTAGAGTTAAATTCTTTTTCCTTTTTTTCTTTTACAGGCTGAAGAAAAGGCTCATTCAGAGGTAGAAACCTTGTAGCATTTTTACATTTGACTGTTTTCGTTTACATTTATGATGAAATGAGTGTTTCGACCACTAGAGGGCTCTATGATACAACCCATAACTCTCCAACACTGCTAATAGAAGTGACCCAGCTAGTGATAGATGGTCTTGGATATTTCCTCTTAAAAGAAAATGAAACGAAGTTTTTAGAAGCAAACTCTTTTCTCATGTTCTAGCTTGGAGTCTTAACTCAACATCTAATAAGTTGTCTCTAGTAGTAAGCACTCACAAATCTTTGATGGATGAATGAATGAATGTGTGGTCTATTATATTATAGTCTCTTCCCCCACTGCCTGTTAGACTAAGTGCATAGGATTAAGGCAAGTATTGAATTTGAGGCACTAGACCGCCACAACACAATTTACCAGTATCCCAGCCCCTCTATTATTTGGTGCCAGGACTTTGCTGCTTCTAATCACTTGATGTATAGTGTAGTATATTGTTCTAATCACGTACATTTCACAAATATTTCATCGCAATCACGTACAAATCAGATTGCAGCCTGGAGAGAACATTATTTTTCTTTCCCTTTGTATAAGAGTTGTCCTGGCCAAGGAGAGCAGGGAGACTTTAATTAGGCCTTTATTCAAGGTGTGCTAATGACTATTTGATTGGTTTTACCATGAGCAAAGAAAAATGCATTGGTAACAGCCTCTGCAAAGGAACTCTTCCCTTTGAAGTTTTATTTTATTAGCCTTTTAAAGTAAAATTTGTGCTGTATTTTAAAAAAATTGAAAAAGTATAAATTATATCAATTTTATCTTTATAATTGCTAGACCAAAGAGTAAATACGGTTTTGAAAAACCTAAACTATTTACATCTCACGGACATGGCAAAATTCTACCATCGACCTCAATACGTATAGCTACTAAGGCATAGAAATACCACATCTGTTTGCCATGTTAGTAGTTATCCAACTCCCCTTTAATTATTTATGCCCCATAGTAGGTTATGATTCTTTTTTAATGATTTATATTACTTTAAGTTTTCCTAGACTCTATTTTAAAGGAAATCTGATCATGTAATAGAGACTATTAATTTGAGAAAGCCTCTTTGAATTTGTATTGTTTTAAGAATAAAATAGATGTTCTCTGCTTTCTGGAACCATTTGCGGTCATCATCATTTGAATGCAGCTCAAATGCTCTTTGGGTCTGGGGGTATCTCTTTTTTTAAAGGACAGGAGTCAAATGGAATCACATTTACTAAAATTATGTAAATGTCCCCTGTCTCTAATCCCAGTTTAAAGTTTAGTTCTTTTTTAGAGTCTTTTCAGTATTTACCACCATTTCTTCTCCACAAAAATCTAATGGGTAGGAAAAAAAAAAAAGACAGTTAATGAACTGTGTCAAGAATGCTCTTTCAAACTAGGGTAGTGTTTTGAAAGGCTAACTACAACAATAGAAGACTTGTTTCTGAAGAAATGAGAATCATCAGAGTAGAATGATTGGCACCTAAGTAACTAAAATCCCTTGAGACCAGAAGTATACTTGTAGACTTAGTCTCAGTTGCTTATAAATATCTTAACCTTACTAATCACTGTCTATATTTCATGGAAACATGAAGCATGCAGATTAAACTGTGGAAAGTGCTTAAATTAAAATTTTAAGTATGATATATACTCTCATCTTTTTCTGGTTCACTTTTATTTGAGTGTGGACCTAACCAAACAGGAAAATATTTTAGCATATTTATGTTGGTGGTTTATCTAGCCATTTTTACAGTATTACTGATTTTTCCCCTTTTTTGAAACTATGGATAACCTATAACAGCATTTCTGCCCAGAGCTCATAGTAACTCACTGAATAAAGGGCATTATAACAAAGACTTGGGAAGGCTTCTCTAAGTGTAAGGAATTAAAACTCCAGCAAATAAAATTATTTTCAAATATGGAATCATTAAATGTTGAATTGGAGCCAACTTTCAGTGACTGCAGGATATTCTACAGCTTCTGAGAAGTTGCCAAAGTATAGGAAATAAAAATAAACATACAAAAAAATGGATAGAAAAATAAAAAGACCCAGAAAAAATATATATGTATATTTACTGGGGGTAGGATGAGCTAATTATAGTATTGGCTTTTTTGGATTGAATTCTTAGTTATAAGTTAAAATCTACTAGCATATTGATTTGATTTTTTTTTTTTAATTACATTCAGCAAATCCATAAACTACGGAGAGAGCTTGTTGCATCACAAGAAAAAGTTGCCACTCTCACATCTCAACTTTCAGCAAATGTAAGTCACTTTTGATTTTTTTTGATATATTAAAACAGATGTTTATATAGTAAATGGGATAATTTTAGTAACAGACTCACAAACTTTAAATGTCCAAAATTATACAGACTTTAAGTCTGTAAATAGTGGGACTTTCCTGCACGCTGGGTAATCAAACATAAATCCACATTGATGAGGAATCACAATGTGGTTAAAGTGGCTTTTTGTTTCATGTAAAGTTGGAAACATTAGTAAAAGCTACAAGTCTTATTTCTTTTCTTACTTCTCATTGTTACCAACGCCCAGCCCCACATACGTAAGACTTTCTTCAGCTCCAAGACAATGAGGGGTTGACAGTGATTAACTGTGGAGTATAAAAAATTCTTGTGCCCTGTCTCCTTCAGCACAATTTATTGGACAATTAGTTAAGCAGCCAGTTAATTCTCTAAATTTGGGTTTCTTAGCTATATTATAAATGAGCTACAGTTCTCTCAAAAACCTTGGTAGCCTCCTTATAGCAGTTTAAGCAGCTGAGGATCGCAAAAAATGATGATGGCAAAAACCATCAGTTATATTAACATTTACTGAAGATCCTTCAGTGTGCCCCGGAGTATACTCAGAGTAGGAGCAGAAATAAAGGCGAACATGTGGCATTGTGCCTGGCCTTAGGGAACAACAGTGTTAGAAGCAGCAGTGAGGGGTGAGGAAGCTCCCGCTATTTTGCCATATGTCCTGACACCTTCACTCAACATCAGTCTGCTCACTTCCACCGGGTGGCTTTGGGCCTGTTCCTGCCTCACCATTCTGCTCTTCGTGGAGTTCTTCCATCTGCTCAGCAAAGCTTAGCACAGCAAGAGTGAGCAAATGTGGGCTCACTGGGTATGAGTTAAATAAGAGATTTTTTTCTTTTTTTCGGTACGCGGGCCTCTCACTGTTGTGGCCTCTCCCGTGGCGGAGCACAGGCTCCGGACGCGCAGGCTCAGTGGCTATGGCTCACGGGCCCAGCCGCTCCGCAGCATGTGGGATCTTCCCAGACCGGGGCACGAACCCGGGTCCCCTGCATCGGCAGGCGGACTCTCAACCACTGCGCCACCAGGGAAGCCCTAAATAAGAGATATTTTAAGAATAAAAGTTATTGTGCAATATATTGGGTTGGCAAAAAGTTTGTTTGGGTTTTTCCGTACCATCAATAACCCAAACGAATTTTTTGGCCAATCCAGTACCTTCCACAGTATATAAGTAAGTCATTTCACTCACAATGCATTCATTTTAGCACTGTTTTTGAATTGACTTTATCTTTTTAACTTTGGGAGAATCAAATGAATTTGGGATTGGCTATATTTATTTTTTATAGATGTTGTCAGGGGATTCTTAAAATAATAGCAGGTTTTAGGGAACTGTTTAGACAATACTGGAAGAGAACAGTATTATTTAACCCATATTTTTTGTCTAAGAATAATTCTTAAATAGTTCAGAAGCCACTGTAAATTTTATACTATAGGCTATATGTATAGTAGTATAAAGCACTCCCGTCTAGATTCCTGAATTTGTACCCAGAGGACATATTGCAGTGTAAAAGCCGGAACACACTGGGTTGTGTTTGTCTGCAATGAGGAAGGCTCAATGACAGACCCTATGCACTGGATAGTAAAGATATAAATGTCTTGAACGATTACTCAGAGTTTTGTTTTATTTTGTAAATGTCTCTTGCATGGACTTACATATCAGTTGTTGGATTAATAAATGGCTGCTATACATAATGGAATTGGGGCTTTTACCGAATAATGTTTATACTGTCTCCATTTAAAAAGTAATATGGTTGACCCTTGAACAACACGTGTTTGAACTGTGCAGGTCCACTAATGCATGGATATTTTTAAAATCTGCATGTAAGTGGATCCATACATTTCTAAATATCTACATATAACTGGACCCGCGTGGTTCAAACCCGTGTTGTTTAAGGGTCAACCATACACAATCCATGGTTGGTTGAACCCCTGGATGTGGAACTCACAGATGCAGAGGGCCAACTATGGGACTTGAGCATCCATGGATTTTGGTTCCGGAACCAATCTCCCACAGATACCAAGTGACAAATGTACATGAGTATTGTATTAAAAAGAAAAACTGAAATTAAAAGAAGTGTTTAATAAAAGATATATATTTGTTTTTCCCTCTGAGATTCCCATTCCCATTCTTGGTTATTGATTTCTTGTGTTTCCTTTCAACATTGTTCTTCTGTATACCCCTGAATACATATATACGGTACACATTTGCAAAGGCTTATACACACACACACACATATACACACGGAAGGAGCCAAGTTCTAATGTAGGAGGACAGTCCTGGGGGACAACTTGATGCCATTGTTTGGAAAGTTACCAAACATTTTACAAAGATGTCAGCCATTGGCTATCTGCCACTTCTCTCAAGTCATGCATGCCACACTATTTTCATTGTTGTGTTTTCACGACTATGGACTTTGTATTCTCAGCTGAGCATTGATATGATTGTCAAAGCATGAATAGTGTTTCTTATGGTGGGAAAAAAAAAAGTACTCTTTTTTTTTTTTAAAGTACTCTTTTTATGCATAAAGCACAGATATATAGAGTACATAAACAGGTATCCAGCATATCTCTGATATTAAAATGGCCATGGAGGAAGGGGACAATTAGGAAAAAAAAAAATCTATAATGTCTCCCTAGGGGGTGATAAAGAAAAAAAAGTAAGAAACATAAAATTAGAAAAATTGGTGCCAAATTGATAAATTTGTTTAAAAAGTGCTAGTCTTGGAAAAACTATCCAAATATCTCCAGCCTTCCCTGTCCACATGTGTGTTATCATTAGTAGTACATTTTGCGCGTGGATAGGAGCTTAATATATATCCTATTTGGTGTGTTCTTCTTCTTTTTTTTTTTTTTTACTTCATAATGCATTTTAGAAATATTCTCAAATCACCTCAGACCCACACAGAAACCTGTACATAGCAGCTTTATTTTTTAATAGTGCAAAAAATTGGAAACAACCAAAATGTCTCTTAATAGGTCCACGTATAAACAAACTCCGATAGATACATCCATACCATGGACTGCCCCTCGGCAGTAAAATTAAATAACTATTAATACACACAGCAACTTGGATGGATCTCAAGTGCATTAAGCTCAGTGAAAAAAAGACCAATTTTAAAAGGTCGCATACTATATAATTCCATTTTTTCAACATTCTCAAATGACAAAATTATAGAAATGAACAACTTAGTGGTTGCCAGGGTTTAAGGAAGGTGGTCACCTCTCTCCTGAGAGTGGGTGTAACTATAAAGGGTAGCAATAGGAAGAGCTTTGTGGTGATGACAGGTGGTTATTTACATGTGTGAATCTTCATATGTGTACCAATAATGAATTTCTGGTTTTGATATTATACTGTAATTTTATAAAATGTAACCATTGAGGCAAACTGAATAAAGGGGTACAAGAGTCCTCTCTGTACTCTCTTTGAAACTTCTTGTGAATCTGTAATTATTTCAGGTTTAAAAATTAAACACCTAAAGATCTATCACAATTTTTAAAAGTGATGTCTAGTTTTTAATTTCTTGGGAATTTAAATCTTATTGAACCATTTAGTGCTTTTTTTATTCGGTGGTGATATGGATTGTTAAAGCTTTTTACCATCAGATAAATGTATTGCTGAAACTGTCAAAAGATAAAAGTCAGAAGATTCAGGTAATGAAGATATATATTATCTTCTATTCTTTTACAAAGCAGTTTATCAAAATTTACTTTAAAACTATTGCAGTAACTAAGAACTTGTGTAAGTGGATGCCTGTATAAATGTTTATAAAATAATTTTAAGGTCAGTCCTATTTTAAACATTTAATAGTATCATTATAATTACTAGGTATGGATATTTATGTTCCTTTGTATCTTTAAGGATATAATCTCCTTTACACATTCAGAAATTTGAATTATTTATAAGGTGCAAACCATCTTGAACTCATTCTCTTTAGCACTTAGTTTAAAATGTCACTTTAGATTCAGTACACCATTATAAGTCATCAAAGGATTTACTTGAGAAAACACTTGGTTTCTCAGTTCTAAGAAATACTGCATTTAAATTTCATTCAGAGTGTGTTTCACATCATTGCCTCTGAATTAACATCTGTTGATGTATGTAATATATGCATATATTTTAATATACTTGTACAGAAATGAAATGAATTATAAGACTGAAAAATTTTTCTGTCGAGTTTCTTCAATGTAAGTGAAAAATTTTTTTTAATCTTGTACATTTCCTGTTTGGAGGTAAAGATATGCCTTTTATTTATTATTTTATTCAGACCACAAGTAAACTTTTTACTTTTTGGTGAAATGGGATCACTACAATGACCATTGTTGTATAGAACTGTAATAGCCATGATTTATAAAGACAAATTACAATGTTTGGTTCTGTAGAAAATATCATTAACTGTTATTATTATCGTTTATTTAGTAATCATTTTAAGATCCAGCTATTCAGTTTCACTCAATATATGAATAATTCTATCAGGACTTATTTGGTTTTCCTTAATTTGGGCTTTTGGGGTTTTTTTTCTTTTTGTAATTGATGTGTCACATGTTTGGACCTGGCAGCATGATTATATTTATATGGAGTCCAGACAATAATCTGTGTTTTAATATTTAAATTTGAAACATCTGTTTCTCTGCTTTTTCTCCCCCTTTGTTAAAAGGGGCAGTGGTAAGTCAGAAAGTTATTCAGTCAGCTCACCTCTCATTTGCCTGACAGAATATGACCTCCATTCAGTAGAAGGTACGCTGAGCCTTTCCCTCCCCTTGCGAAGTTCTCTGAGCAGAGCTGCAGAAAGCCTGGGAAGCCTCTTTATAGAGCTGTGTCCACTAGGATGTCTGGAGAAAGGAGAGAGGGTATGTTGGCCAGCGCTATTGCCTGGCCTTCTTTGAATCAATACCCCACCAACAAACAGGAAGAGAACAGGAGCCCCACAGTCCAAGGCCCCCGGGAATGTATGGTCACATCAGACAGTCAGCCAGGTGCCGCCTGGCCTCTCACCCATACCTTCATGCTGCCAAGCCAGGTGGGATGCACTTAATGTATTTCTTACAAATCTCAGCCCTTAGGTAATTTGGATATGAGCACTAAGGCTAGTTATTGCTACCACTTTTCAAAGATACTGCTGAATGAATGTGTAACCAAAAAAAGTTTTTTTTGCCTTTCAGTGCATAAGTCTTTTAACCACAAATCTCTCAGGTGTTATTTTCCTTGGGATTGTGTCCTGTATCTTTGCTCTATTTAATATTTTTATATAATCTGGCAGTTACTTCTGTTTTTCTGCATCTCCTTTAAGGGAAAACTATTTTGCGCATAATTAACAATGACAGACACTGAAGGGACCATTTTATACGGTAAAAGAAATATGAAATCTTATTTATGATAGTTTCAGAGTCATTTTCAGTTCATCTAACTACTGATTTTCAAATGTAAAGTCATCTATTTCTGTCTATCTATCTAATCTGTCTATCTATCCCCATATACATCTATGTAAAGAGTATGTTTTATTTGGCTGATGGGCTGTCACTGAATTCTGAATGAACAAATGCAATGCAGGCATTTTTCATAATGATATTCCATCTTATTTTTTAGTACCACAGTTTTTTACATGTCTATTCAGGTTATGTTATGTGATTCCAAAACTAAAGACAATATGTATTAAAAATATTTTCCCTTAGCTAGTATTCAGTCTTGTCTATTTTATTACCTTCACAGACTTCACCTAACACAAGTAGGGAATGTTCATCAACATATTGATACAACTTTACTGTGGCTTGAAAATTATGCAGCTGCTAAGAGAAAAGTCAGAACCATGTAAACTATGATTAACAGTCCCCCTAAAAATCCACAGTTCTTTTAAAGTTATCATTTTATAAAGTTTTTAGACAAGATATATTTTCCTGTAGTTTAATCAGTCTTACATTCCATTTTTTTCTCCAGTAAGGTGACAAAGATTATCACTGGTATAAATGCCTTCCTTTATTTTACCTATTGTAGTGCCTTTCCATGAATCCAATTGGTGCGAAAGTTGCCCTTTTATTAACTTCAAAGTAACAAAGCTATTATGATAAACTAAGTTGAGGGGACATAAACTTAAAGCAGCATTTCACGAACATACTTTTAACAGACTTTTCACTGAGAACAGTGTGACTCAAATTAAAATGTTCTTTTGTAACTAGTTATATATGTTCTTGTAAATAATTAATGAAGAGCAATTTTCCAAAGATTGAAAACTGACCTTCTAATGGTGAACATTTTATATTTACTCATAGATACCAAATATAAGCAATATATTTGTGCAGCATATTCTTCACAGTCCTGCTTTCTTTGTCATATTTTAAATTCCTGTTAAACTGATAAAATATGCACAGCTGGTAAAATGAAGCAATTTTCTATAAGTATATACATTCAAGGACTCATTGTCCAACAATTAAACCTTACAGTTATTTGGGAGAATTGAAACTTTTCAATGTTATGTAGAGCCTTGCATTTCTTGTAGTGAATATTAACAAAGTTATTCTGTTTTAGAGGAAAACAAGCAATTTTAGCTTTAGAATTTAGTAACCCATTTTATCTTCATAGCAGGATTATTTTTAACAGTCTAAACTGGAATCAGCACTAATGGTCGTCATGGACAAATAAATTATAAATCACACAGAGCAGTGCTTTACAGCAAATTCTAACTCCTGCTGCACACCACATGGATGAATCTCAAAATACAATGTTAAGCAAAAGAAAACTGTCACCAAGAAAATCATGCCATGTGATTCCACTCGGATAGTTTTAAAAATAGGCCAAGCTAAAACATAGTGTTTAGGGATGCAAGCTTAGGTGGCCAAACTATATAGGGAAGCAAGAAAATAATTATAACACAGGTCACTCTAGTGGTTATCTTTTTGGAAGGGAGAGGGGACAGAGATGAGGAAGGGGCAAGGGAGGACTTCCAGGGTCTTCAAATCCTCTTTCTTGACTTGGCTGCTGAGTGCATGAATATTCGTGACGATGAACCAGTGAGCTGTACATTTTCATTTTGTTCACCTTTAACATAGTGTGAAGGTTAAGTATAAGAGAAAGTGGGACATAACCTTATGCTAATTTCTGAGGGTACTAATTCTGATGTAATGACATTCCTTGTCACTGGAAACGTTTTGAACTATTAGATACTATTTGTTTTTTTAAAAGAGTGTTATTTATCCGATTAAACCTGCTAACAAACCTTGGAGTACAGTCCTCAAGGTCATGTGTATGTGTGTGTCTGAGAGAGAGGGAAAGGAGGAAAGAAGGAGAAGGGAGTGGAAAAGAATAGAGGCTTTTTTTGGTTATTTAAAAAATTTTTTTTATTGAAGTAAGAGTTGATTTACAATGCTGTGCCAATCTCTGCTGTACAGCAAAGTGACTCAGTTATATAGAAATTCTTTTTTTTACATTCTTTCCCATTATGGTTGATCACAGGATATTGAATAGTTCCCTGTGCTATACAATAGGACCTTGTTGTTTATCCATCCTATATATAGTAGTTTGCATCTGCTAACCCCAAACTCCCAGTCCTCCACTCCCCCACCCTCCTCCCCCTTGGCAACCACAAGTCTGTTCTCTATGTCTGTGAGTCTGTTTCTGTTTTGTAGCTAGGTAGGAAAGAATAGAGTTTTACTTACTGATGGACTGGAGATTAATAGCATCTTCTATAAATCATCTTTCTCTATATTATAGTGTCAGGAAAACAAAGGCATCCCAGGATGAGCTCAGAGCTAGGAACAAAGACACCTTTGTATCATGATGCTAATGGAAGGGACTTGTACATTCTAGCTGTTACCAATAATGGAATAAACTTCTGGCTGTTACTAATAATGAAATAAACTTCTAGCGCCCTAATTCTTAGGACTCCTGTGATCCATTTGATAATAGGTACCTCAGCCTTTCAGCTCTGCTAGAGTTACAAGGCGATTTATTTTAATTGCATCCTCTCACTCCCTTCTCTCAAAAAAATAATCTTTTGGCAAATTTTCCCCCACACATAGTTTATTATAGATGTAGGTTGTAAAACATTCTGTACTTGTATCTTTTTATGGATACGATAAAATTGGAGAACATACCTGTGGTTCTACATCAAGCCACAGTGAGAGGTTGACGTATCTCTTCATGCCTAATATTCTGTGGGTCAAGCTGTTGCATGATGGCATGTCAATAGAAACTGGCCTATTTTAGAACTATAATAAGATTTTCAAATACTTCTTAATTGTAAGAGTTACGGTTATGTACTGCAATATGTATAATTCTCTGAGATTTAAAATAAAACCCCAGAGCCACAAAAACTTAAATAAAATGTAACTGAATATTATTTCTAGCTGGCCTACCTACATTTCCTTAGTGGAAGGGAAAAAAGTAGGAATGAAAGCCCTTTTTATTGGAAAGAGTTTGGAAAGTGAAGACAACTCTTTTCGATTCAATTCTTTGTTAGTAGAAAAAGAGGAAAGGTAATGTTATAGCTGTCAGCAGATTTCCAGCACTTGCAGGAGAGCATCATTTCAATAGAGGAGCTAACAATATCTTCAAAGGTCATCATGCAGGTATAAAAATGAGGAACATTCGTCCATTGACTATTGCCACAACCTCCTCTTGGGCTTTGAGTCTAAAAACTTGGCAACTCAGAACTTTATCCTCCATGACGTGCAAGTTAGAAGGTGTTTTTATTTGCAAAATAGCATTCCCTTTCAGAAGTTGAACTCATTAAATGTCAAGATTGAAACACTGGTTTTTAAGCTGAAGTTTAGAAATAACAGATGAAGATTTGTGTTAACGGAGAGTCAGCACTGAAAGCCAGACATGACAGTCATAGTATTTAAAGAGTAAGAATACCTGAAATTAAGCATTTTGTAAAGAGAAGGGTTTTCATCCATCCACATAAGGTTCTGACATTTAAGATATGTTCCTTCCGTTTTGTTCACAGGCTCACCTCGTAGCAGCTTTTGAAAAGAGTTTAGGGAATATGACTGGCCGACTGCAAAGTCTAACCATGACAGCGGAACAGAAGGTATGTTCAGGAATTGCCACTGGGGCTTGAAATAAGATAAGAAGTTGCATAGGGTGTTTAAACAATACCTGAGATGCAGCTCCTTAGAAATAATACTGAGAGGATCCATTCTAAAGTAAATTGGAACAATGGCAAGATAATACCTTTTCTTTTCGGATTTTAATTTAAAGACTTATGATTCCGATTAACCTATATTGGAACACACACACACGCACACACACACGCACACACACGCACACACACACACACATGTTCTTTTCAGGCAGTCACTTATTTTACTTCTGACTGGAACTATTGAAAGAATACCAAATGTTAAGAAAAAGAAACAGGAGAAGAGTTAGAATATTCTAGGAATAATTTAACGCAGTTGATGAGAATTGCACTCTGACAAGAATTTTCACAAATTCATGGTCTATAAGCCCAGTTACAGACCATGGCTGTGATCTGAGATACTCATGAAGAAGGCCTGAAACAGAGGTTAGGGCTCCGTAAAGTAAGGGGCCTTACGTTACAGTACCCACGAGACAAGGGACAGTACTGCATAATTTTGGAGTAACAAGACTAGTTGGCATCTGGGGATGCTGTCTTTGAAGTAAAGCTAAGCTACATCAAAAGCTTTAAAATAAGCCTGAAGGATTTTATGGAGTAGTAGAAGGAATGGTTTAAAAAAAAAAAAAAAGCAACAGAGAATTTGGTTCACAAAGGCAGAAATATCAAAAGGTCCACCCTGGATAGAAAGAATCTGGACACTTTCCATATGATGACCAGTAACTTACCTCCCTGCCATTAATTTGGTGGCCCTAACCTGAGTCCTTGGATGAGTGTCTAAAAAGTCTCTAAAATTGTGTGGAAATATTTGTAAAAATGGCATATGTGCATAATATGAGCAGATTTCCATGGTTTTCGTCTAATTTTCAAAGAGATCCATATCTACATAATTTTGGATAATTTCAACTGATATAGAATCAGTTCCTATATCTTTCCATAGGGATGGCTTCGATTTTGGCTTCAGTTCTGTAAAGTATGGCTTTGGCTTTAAAAAAGAACTAGCATGTGTTATTGAGTTTTGTCAGTTTACTACTTTTTTTAAAGTTAAAAAAACAAAACAAAACAAAACTGAACAGTCCAATTAAACCAAAAGAGAAAATCAAATATTCCTATAGTTGCCTGGTATAATTATAGAACTGTATTCTGTTTGCCCTTATCTTTCATTCTCTTATCTCATAGCTCTCCCCTGCCCATGAAAGAGAACACTGTCCATCCCTGTCAAGCCTGTTCTGAAGGAGAAGATAACAAACTCCTTTGACCACATAAATTTTGTCTTAATCTTTCGGGGGGGGGATACAATTTACCATTTCACTATGTAACATAAGAACTCAGCAAATAGCATTACAAGGCCTTTTTAAGGGCATACAGGTGGGAAAGATTATAAATGTTGGAGTCCAGTAGCCTCAAGTTTGAATCTTGGCGAGGTCTCTCAAGAGCTGGAGAATCTCCCTTTCGTAACCCTCAATTTTGTCATTATAGAAGTGGGAGTTATAATAACTACCTTGTAGAATCATTCTGAGGAGTGAGATACTGTAATATGTCACAGGTAGTGGATAGTCAACAAATGTTACCTTTCTTTATATTTCTCTCCTCTTTTTCCTTAAAAAATGTAAGATAAACCAAATTCATCATTGGTTATATGCCAGGCATATCGCTAGAAATCATGGTTAGTATTTAAGTCTCAATATCTTTAAGAAGTCAAAATTTATATATTTTGCCTCGCCATATTTCCTTCAGCTCTTTTTTATTTGTAGGCAAATTTCTCGTAGAAATTGGAAATATATACATGTTTGTTAATTTATAATGTCTATGAAAAATTCCTGAATATTTTAGAATACATCTCCATAATACAAAGAATTATATAATTGTTTGCACATTATCCTTGAAGTAACATTGCCAAAATTGTAAAGTTTTCTCGGAAGATATCATGATGTCTGCAATTGCCCTTGCCATTTTTTTAACTGAAAGTAGAATGGTTGCTCTGTTAATTGAAATATGATACACACAAAACGATGCTTATTTTATTTTATCAACATTAGGTTTTTTAACATTCACATTAGCATTGTATTTTATTAACAATGTTTATTTCATTATATTATTTATTTAACAATGTTTATTTTAGTAATCTGAGATTTATAACTTGCTTTTTTCCAGAGTGGTTTTGAGAATCTTATAAAGTTTATTGGATTATGATATAACACAATTCAATGACAGAATCTAGTGAAAACCAGTAGAGGAATGTATATAACAAGATGCTTGAGCCTAGGTAATTACCACCCCAAAGTAGAAATTCACTGAACTGAATTGATTCTCAAGGAAGCTAAGGCACAAAGGGAGATTGCTTGGCGTGTTCAGTTTTCATTTTCTGACCAGAAGAGCATAATTTAGATTGAAGAGACAAACTTTCAGACACTGAATTCAAGGACAAATTTATTGTAAAATTTCTTAAATTGGGGTCATGAAATAACAAAAGACAAAATCTCTGTTCGAATAGACATTTCTCTAAAAGCTGAGGGCATAACATTTAATCATATTTCAGGAAAGCCATTTTCTTCAGGGAGCTGAGATAAAAGGGCATATTGTTCTCTGGTGATCCAACAATCCTGGGAAAAAAGAGCAGAGAATATAAAGCAGAGGTTTTGAAACTCTGTTCTAGACTTCCAAGGTTCCTTTGTCCATTTAGTCATGCACCAAAATTATAATGAATTTCTATTGTGTATGAGATACTGTTCTAGCTATTGAGAATTCAGCAGTGAAATACACACACACATACACACACACATACTTATATCCTAGTTTATAACCGGTTATAATATAAAATAGAGTTTATATTCTAGTAGGTGACAGATTATGATAAAAATATAATTCAACTATATGGGAATTTCAGGTGAAGATAAGGACTACTGAAAAATTTTAAGCAAAGAATGATTATATTGGGAAGCAAGGTAGGATGCTAACACATGAAGAACCAAAGGCCAAGGTGGTTGCATGTGCTTGGGTATCTAATTAAGAAATAGATAAACTAGAAAAAAAAAAAAAGAAAGAAAGAAAGAGATAAACTAAACTAGGACTCAGATCCAAGACCCCTGCTTCAGTGTGTGATTTTCAACAATCATATGGCATTAATAGCCTGAAAACTGTATCAAAATTTTAGTTAGGTTTATAGACCAAAATCACTCCCTTGAATAATGTTCTAAATTTTTTCCTTGTTTCCAGATGCCAAGTCACACCGATTGTCTTGCTAAATGTATGTGCCAAAACACTGCTTGTGTATACTTGTAGCCTGGTAAAAATAAATAAACAAATAAAAATAAAAGAAAGAAAAGACATGTATGAATAACTCAGGAGGCAGAAAATATGAGGTGCAATTAGAAATATAACAGGACAATGTCCTGAGTGTTCTCACAGAGAACCATTGCACTTTCAAACTAGTTTTTGTAGGGGGGAGGGGGGGGTTGGGGGTTTTTTGTGTGGTTTTTTGTTTTGTTTTGTTTTTTATTGGAGTATAGTTGATTTACAATGTTGTGTAAATTTCAGGTATACAGCAAAATGATTCAGTTTTGTGTATATAGTTATAGAATAGTTATATCTATTCTTTTTCAAATTCTTTTCCCTTACAGGCTATTACAAAATATCGAGTATAGTTTCCTATGCTATACAGCAGGTCCTTGTTTGTTATCTCTTTTTTATATGGTAATGTGTATATATTAATCCCAAACTCCTATTTTTTCCCTCCTCCCCTTTCCCCTTTAGTAACCATAAGTTTGTTTTCTATGTCTGTGGGTCTATTTACATTAGTTTTAGAGGAGAGGTGGCCAAGAGGAGTCTTGTCAGGCTCAGGGAGGATGAAAAAAATTAATTCAGGAGAGATGGAGGACCGTGTGTCATAGAGGAAGGAACACCATGAGTGTGAACAGCAAGGAGGGAAATTATGGGATACATTAGGGAAAAAGAAGGAATGTGGAGGGAAATGTGGAACCAAGGCTTGAAGGATATCTAAGGAATCCGGTCCTTGGAAACAGGGAGCCATTCAAAGATTTTTGACACTAGGCTCACATGATAAAAGTTAGTTAATGAAGATCAGTCCAGCAGCATTTCCCAGTAGTTTAACAGCATTCCCTGTAGCTGCCAGAAGACCATGTGTTATGGAACAGTAAGTCTATAAATAAGAGTAATTAAGATAATTGTCAGTAATGCTGCCCAGAGGGTGACATTATCTCTAGGTATCCCCTATACCTAAGGCTCAACAGATTGTGATGGTGACATAGTTTGATCAAGAATTTTACCTGGATTTCAGGTCCTTGTCCCTTAACTAGTACTTTTCCACCAAGATTCTTTGAAAGAATTAAGACCAAATGCCCTGAAGCATCTATTATTATGTGATGAAACGGCTTCTTTTCAGTGCATCTAGAGTGGTACTAGCTACATACCATCCATATCAGAAATGAAAAAGTTGTCACTCAACTTATAGTTCAGGGTTTTATTTTCTTATGCTGCAATAAAGGTCATCAAAATGATAAGAATTCTGCAAATCTGTATTTTTATGAATGAAATTTTTACACAACTACTGCTAAATCCTTGCAAATTTACTAAGGCTATATACTCATTGATAATTAGAAGACTTTCAAATCACTTCCTTATATCTGTAGTGCCAGAGGCAATTAGAACATATGTTAAGGTGTGGTAGGTTAGTCTTGTTAGAAGGTCAGAACATGACAGAGGAATATATTTTTGTTTGCGTAGTGGAGCTCAGCTGTTGATTCTATGCTAACTATAAAGTCTAGGGTTTGCTCATTCTTACCTCTGTGAAACTTTTTTGGATGACTAGATGAATAGACACTTAAATGTTAAAACTTAGAAAATTCAAAACCAACTCTCTGGAAATAGATGATGTAGAAACTAAAATGTTAGTTGAATTGTATCTTTACATTAACTCCTAGTTCAGGTTAAAT